AAACCTGACCACCACCAGAAGAGAGACGGTTCTCCGTTACCACCACCTCAACAACTTCGTGCAAAGAAGCACCACCAAACGCTTCATTAACTAAAATATTTAACCGGGACTGTCTGAGCCAGGATATTGTCGTTTCACTTTTATTTTGTTGTAAACACAAGTGCAATAATACAATATTAGTGTAAATTGCAAAAAATGTACCTTGATTCATAGGATATTCATAGTAATCCATATAAAAAGATCATTATTCCTGGACCCCCCCAACTTCAATCTTAAACATTTTATACAAGTTAATGTAATTACGTTACTACAACAGTGTGTTCAGTTTGTTGGTTTCTCTCTCTTATTAAACTACCCATGTTCAAATTTCTGATGAGTACCAACTTTCTTCAGAGTTTTCTGTTCAATCATTCATAATATGAAATTATGAAGCCATTATCCTCTCAAATCTTACTAGAGCAGGTAGGCTCCTATTTAATTAGAATCATTGTGGCTACTGGCTAGAAGTGTTTATATGTTTATATTAACATAACGGTTAATAAATTTTACACAATTAACTCATTTCCATTTTTATGTTGATAAACACTTTGGGGGATGTTTGGCTATGAGCGTTACTGCGTTAGAGCCAAAAAGTTGAATTCTCAAAACGCTACAAATGCAATAGTTGAGGTTTCCACGCAAGAGTTGGATAAATGTAAACGGGGCATGGTTATAATAAAACTATAAAAATAAAAATAAAAATTTCACTGGTTGTTGCCCGCATGTGTAGACTTCCAGTGCATCGGAAATGGTTGGGAGAAAGGAATAAAGGAGTTTTCCTAGGGGTATACAAAATGTGTACACAAATGTGTACACATGTCTGTCCTTCACAGAAATTTTGTCTGTCACAGACAATTCAAAAAAGACAAAATTTCTGTAAAGGACAGACATGTGTACACATTGTGTACTCCAAACATTTTTCTCCACCCAAATGCTGAAAAAAAGGAAGCCTTAATAGTGTTGGACCCGTGCCGGTACGATTCCGGGCTCGGTACCGGCCAGTCCAATTCCGGGCTCGGTACTGGCCAGTCCAGTTCCGGGCTCGGTACCGGCCAGTCCAGTTCCGGGCCCGGTACCGGCCGGCCTCGTCCGGTTTTAGACCCCATACCGGCCGGACCCGGTTATAATTAAATGGGCCCCCAGTACCGACCTGATTTAGTACGGTTCCGGTCCGGGTCGGGCCGCCCGGATCCAGTCCATGCCTAAGTGGCTAAGCCTTAAGGCCCTTAATCCGTATTTGTTCAAACAAACTGAAATGAAGAGTCCTTTTGATGACTTGGATTTTGGATACGGAGTATAAGATTGAATCTCAAGTAACTGCATACGTGGAAGTCTCCCATAAACCACTGCAGAGTCTGTAGTCAGTGGATAAAATAAACGATAAGAAATGTGCATCCAGGATTTGACCATCTACGGCTGAGGGCAGATTATAAATACCTCCAATTTAACCAACACATCAATTTCTTCATATATCCAAACGTGACTTATGGCAACCATGACTACTGGCATCAACCTCACCGCCGCACACAGCGCCTCAGCCATGGCGGCGTGGCGCTCGGCGAAGCCCCAACCCGTGCAGTTGGCATGCCTAAACAACAACCACTTCCCTAAGGGGATGTCAATCGGATGCGGCGCCGGGAGGGTGCGTGTCCGGCCTGTGGCTGCCGCTTCCGACGGCCTCTCGGAGAAGGTGGCGGAGAGTGTGAAGAACGCAGAGGAAACCTGCGCTGGCGATCCGGAGAGCGGGGAGTGCGTGGCGGCTTGGGATGAGGTGGAGGAGCTCAGCGCCGCCGCAAGCCACGCGAGGGAGAGACAGAAAGCGAACAACCCATCAGATCCTTTGGAGAAGAAGAATTACTTCGACGGTAACAACAAGCCAAAGACAGAGGGTGATTAGATTTCGTGTTTAAGTGATTATCCAGTTTGTAATTTTGTATACTATACAACTATTATTATCTGTACTTGTGCTGGTGGATATACCACTTATCTTTCTCTCTCGTTGTATGATCAATTTTCTTATGGCGTGATTAGATGAATTGGTTAATTGATGTCTTTTTTTTCAATCTGGGTTCGGTGAGTACTGCAGTTAAGAAAATTGGCATTGATGAATTATGATTATCTCGTTATCAACTATGAATAATGATTTCTGCAACCGAATGGGTGGATGGCATGGACAAAAGTTTGGAATTTTCAGCTACCTCCGAAAGTCAAACTATTTTTTTGGCAATTTGCAGCAGGTGTGCTGCCCACGGCTGATATTCTGAAGGTCAGACCTGATCCAGTTTCAGGCCACTGCCCAGTGTGTAAAGTGGAGGAAGAGTCCTCTTTTCACTTGTTTTTAAAGTGCCCTGATGTGCACACTGTTTGGCGTGAAGCGGGGATTGCTACTGTGATTGCAGGGGGGGTATAGCAGGCTGTTTACAGAAGGTTTTTGCAGCTTTGGATGAGGAAAATACTTGCAGGTTCGTTATCATCCTATAGAGTATTTGGAAGTCTCGCAATGGGATTGTATGGAAAGGGGAGGCCTTTTCAACCGGAAGTGTTTTGAGTGCAGCGACCATTACTCTAGCGAGTTGGTGGACTGCCCAGGAGGCGAGCAGAAGCCAAGGGAGCGGCTTCACAAACCAAGGAGGCTCAAGGTGGGAGAAGCTGGATGGGTGAAGATCAATGTAGATGCGGCGAATAACGCTCACACCGGAAATTGGGCTTGGGGTTGGATAGGCAGCGATAGTAGCAAATGTTTTCTCCGGGCACGTAGCCGGGTGGCTAAGGCAGTCTGGGATCCCGTGGAAGCGGGGGCGATTGGAGTTAGGGAAGCTATATTGTGGGCGAGAGAAGTTGGATGGGATAAAATAGTGGTTGAAACAGATGCAGCATTGGTCTTGCCAAGTATACAAGGCGATGCTTGTGATGCACAATAGGAGTCATTTTTGAAGATATCAAATTTTTAATTAATGAGTTCCATAATGTTAAAGTCCAGTGGTGTAGGCGATCAGCGAAACAAGTGGCTCACGCAATTGCTAGTGTGACTGTTTCTATGTCAGGTAGTGAGATTGATTTTTCTATTCCTCCGAACTTTATTGTAAGCCAATTGACCAATGATCTTTTAATATAATTTGGCGGTCTTACTTGAAAAAAACAATGAATAATGATTCTTTCAAAAAAACAACGAATAATGATCATTGATCAAAGCTTCCTAGCACAGAATGTGCCCTAAACAAAATACTACCAAAATGAGTTGTAGAACCCTTTGTAATATTGAAATTGAAAATGAGATGAATTGTTGAAAATGGTTAAATATAAAAGTAACAAATAGTAAAATAAAATTATCTTCAACGACATTATTTTGATTATTATATAGTTTAGTGTACGAAATTAAAAGATACTCTGTACATTTTTGAAAATTATTCTTTTCATCCCGTAAGATTTGTCCAACTTTACATCAAATAACAATATCTTTAAGACGGCTAAATAAGGGTTATCTCTTATTGCTAAACTAAAAAAAAGAGTTACTCTCTCTATCCCTAAAAATACTTTCAACTTTTCTTTTTGGGCGTTCCAAAATAAACTTTCACTTTCCTTTTTTGGCAAAGAATTTGTGATTCACATCAATTCTTACACATTTCTCTCTCCTCTAGACAACTCTCTACCACACAATACTCACTATCTTAATCCCCGTGCCATTTGTACTATGGAAGTAAATTTAAGGACGGAGGGAGTATTACTTATTCCTTTTATCATTGAAAGGTTGAATCCCTAACCTAAAGGCGGCTAAGCTCTGACATGATAGACCATATGAGAGGTTGTAAATCATGGTGATTCAACTAGTCATAACATGGTAGACTTTATACTCATGCGTACCAAAAGCTCAGCTCATCACACATGAGTTGTGACCTCCATACGGTCACTGCAGATTTTAATCCTTAATTATTGTCCAAACTTTTCCACCGCTTTATCAATTGAGCTATCTATATATATCAGAGTTATTTCTTATTTCTATTGTTTTTGCGTGTTATCAACGATCACGTCGAAAGTAGAAAATGTTACATCCTGTTTAGTATGGCTCATCACTTGGAGGAAACATATTTAATATTAAAACTAGGGGTGTATAATAAAACTGAAAAATCGAAATCGACTGACTAATCGATCGAAACGAACCGACCACAATTGAACCAACTAAAAACAAAACCAACCATAACCTATTGAATGAAACCGAACTAACCAAAACATATTAAAGTATTGGCGGTCCAGTTTATAATTTATACTTTTGCGTTAGAAAGTAAGAAAACTGACCAGACAAAACCCCAACAAAATATGCTAAAAAAACCGAAATCAATACAAACAGACCGAAACCGACTCAAGTTTTGTGGTCTGATTCTTGGTTTCACGTGTTCTAAAAGTCGCTAAAACGACAGACTAAAAATTGAAGCGACTAAAAACCTTAGTTGTTCATACATATTTAAAAATGTGAACAATTAAGTTTACATCAATTTAATATCATATTAGCCTCAAAAAATTTTAATTAGGATAACATTAAAAATTTCTAGTACCAGTATAACTTTTTTTCTATAAAGTGGTCTCGGAGTTATAGATGAACTAAATATAAAATAGTACTGAAGTAGCATCATACAGTGTTTATGAACAAAGGAACAAAGGCAAATTCAAAAGGTATAGTTATGGGCCTATGGCATGTTAGCTTCACGCCTTCACCACTAATAATAGTTTTTTGAAATAACAAAAAAATTATTTCAAAAAAAAAAGTTATAAAAAAATTGTTTACTTCATAATGTTCAATAATACTCGTATCACTGAATTAATGAATGTCATGTTTTCCGTGATTGTGATTTGAAATGATTGTATTGGTGTCCAATGGTGGTCAGGTGGCCTTCAGTTTTCTATACCCTTAAATATATTTATCCACGTTTTATTCTTCAGCATTACATTATACTGCGCAACAAATATTTTTTATGTAAAAAAACCATGCTAAATCTTGCACCAGAATACCTTCCAAAGTCCCAAACAAACTGTAACTCCAACCTTATTAATATCAAACCTGAATTATCCTCACATTACACCATATATTACATGAAGACATGAAGTTCAAACTTCACTAGCAACTTAATGTCAAGCAAAGACAACCACAACCAATGCACAGCCAGACACTGAAAGACACAAACTCAGAGAACATGCTAGCAGACAATGGACAACATGAATAATGCTAAGAAACAAATAAGTAATAATGATACAACGAAAGACTCATAAACAAGACACAAAGAGGCGGTAACTGAAGCTTCTTCTCAAAACGGGAACATATCAGCAGATGCAACAATGGGTTGTGTAGGACAAGGCAGCTGCCACGGCTCAAGCAGAACATCGGGAATCTCATGGATATCCTCCACCACAGTCTCATTAACCTCTGCCCAAAGATGGAGGAGTGAATTCATAGACTGCAAGCGATCTGCCAGCTCAGCACATTGAGCCCTCAAAACGTCATTCTCAGTAGAAAGCAGTGCAAGGCCTTGACACAGACTATCAATTTGCTGCTTGCAAACACTCTGCTCGTTCTGGAGGAGAGCCCTCTGGCTACACAGCTCCTCCACATGCTGTTGCTTCCTCAGACGAGATCTCTTGGCAGACTCACGGTTGGATATCATTCTCTTTCTTTTCTTCTCGTCATACATTGCATAACGCTGTTCGGCATCAGACGATGATCCAGAATGTGCAGGCTGCTGTTGCACAGAAGAAGCCATTTCTTTCTTTCGAAATAGATGATTTTGTATTTCAAGATTGGGTAGATTATAATTACAAAACAGAAACGCTTGACAGAAACTATGGACTGGGCTAGGAAATGAGAAATCTTTTGAACACACAATTGATTAGGGAAGAAGTTTGAGATTTTGCAGAATTGAGGGGGTCAGTTCATGAGAATACGTAAAACCAGTAAAGAAAGACAACTGAAAAAGAGTGGAGGATACGAATTCTACGCATTAGGATGGAATTCATGTAGGAAACATTGATAGATGTATTTGTACAGATCTAAAACCAGAATTGAGAAATTAAACTTGGAATATCAAAAGTAACCCTAGGTTGGGATATATCGATAAAAATATCAGAGAGCACAATAATCCTGAAACGTTTGACTGTAGATCGAGCGAGCAGGCTTTGAACGATTAGATCTGCGCATAAAAAGCAAAATCGCCCACAGATAAAACTTATTGATCAGCAACATAAGCATAAAGCAGATCCGAGAAAGCAAAAGCAAGCAAGCCAATAAAATCACGTGAATCAGCCACAAAAGAATTAGGCAAATAACACCATGGCATCGAAGCTCGGACAAACAGGTAACATTGAAGTTTGATAAAACAGCAATACTGAAGTCAATTGAATCAAGAACACCAGAACTTATTACTAGTATATCAACAACACAAAAGAAATAAGCAGTAGATAAAAATACAGGAAAAAAACTAGAAGTCAATTTCGAAAATTAACATATTAAAATAAAGACAGAAAAGCGAAAAACGATGCTTACCTGAGGAAGAAGAGGTCGCCTGAGATTTTCAACGACACGGTCGTAGGAAGGTTTTAAGGAGGATAAGGGATGGTATTTATAGGCCGCCGAGAGATTATTCATGTGTTGGTAGGAAGTACGTAGTAGGTGGCAATACTTTATCCTAATTATTACGGATTAGAGCACGTTTATTTTTCTACCATTTTTGTTGTTAGAATTTAGAAATTGTTAGAACGGATTAGAGTACGTTTATTTTTCTAAATAAATCAAATAATTTATGTTGGATTCGCGATTTACATTCGTATAAGATTATTTGTATTTGAAAAATTCAAATACAAATATAAATAAATATTAAACTTGATTCGAATTGTTATCAAATAAAAATAAGAATATCAGTGTATTCGATTCGAATATTAATCGAATATATTCGATTAATAATAGTGATAATATTATAATAATATTAATAAATATAGTAATAATACTATAATAACTTTTAAAAGATAGCTATACACTCGAAGTGTATCCCATATATATATTTATGTTTACAAATTTCAAGCCCATTTGCAATAAATCAGAAGAATCATACGGATTAAGGATTGTAAAGGAACCAAATAATTTTATTTCAATTCATGATTTGGATTCAAAATATATGATTTAAATTTGAAAATATAGAATATAAATATGAATACAAATCAGATTTTAGGTTCAAATATCTTTCAAATACGAATACAAATAATTATGTATTTGATTCAAAGAATAAAATTAAATTCGTTTGACTATGATGTATACAATTATCAACTTATTTCACACTATAAATATAATTTTTAATGTGTGTGTGTTAGTGTTTATCTCAAAAAGTTTGAAATTGATTTATATTTATTAAACCAAGCATTCCAGCTCAGCTGGTTGTGAGGTTACCGTGTCTAGTGGGAGGTCTTGAATTCGAATCCCGCTAGGCACACAAGGGGTGGAAACTCAATGGAGTGAGTTTCATCCATGATTACTCCAGACCCTCCCAGCCCCCCTCCCCCAGACACCCCTGGAGTAAAAAAAAAGATTTATATTTATTAATCATATAATTGATTGACTTTAGTATATTGTGCACAATATAAAAATGCATCGACCCATTAAATCATCATTATCATCACTCCAGTGCCGCAAAGGTTCCCACCTACGGTGGGGTAAGGGGGTCGGATGTACGCATTCTTACCAATGTACTAAATCACAAAGAGACGGTTTCCGAATGACTCGTAGTGAAAAACGCGTCGAAAATTGCATAGATTGACTGCTACTTCATACTCCGTAACAAAGAACCGCAGACAGCTTAAATTTTAAAGAAAAATGTACTTGTACAAATTAAATCTTAAAAACAAATATTAAGTCATAGCATGCATTTATAACGTAAAAAGTATAAGAAAAATCACTTCAAAGTGATATTTGACTAATATTTAACTTATGCTCAAATTGATTCAATACTCGTATATGATTCGTTAATTATTCGTATTGTTAAACAAATGCAAATACAAATCAAAATTAATATCCGTTTCATATTTGAATTCGGATTCGAAAAAATTAAACAAATACAAATACAAAATCTTACTATTCGACTCGATTCAGTTCGTATACAACCCTACTCCCATATAAGCTCACATGTTGACTTTTTAAGTCAAACTTTGACCGTTAATTAGTAAACTTTGACCGTTAATTAGTCAAAAATTATTTTATAATACCAAAGTAATTTTGATTGCTTCATTTTAATATATATTACTCCGTATTCAAATACTCCCTCCGTCCCATTGGACTTTGCCAACTTCCCTTTTTTGATTGTCCCAAAAAACTTTGCTTGTTTCGTATTAAAGCAACTAATTTGTGGTTTTGCACATTTCTCTCTCTTCTGCACAAATCTCAACCACACAGTTTTTACTATTTTTATTTCTCACGTACTTTGCACTTGGCAAAGTCTATCGGGACGGAGGTAGTATTAGTTTATTATAAGCTCTATAAGTGTATATCTTTACATATCAAAGGTCAAACGTAACGTTAATATTGGAGACCGTGAAATGTTGACTGTGAACTTAATTAAGGGGCGAAGGGAGTAGAAAAATGCATAGGTAGACCTACATGTATTTTATTCCTAAAATAGGACTTATTTGATCATATTAAAAGTATTAAAATTCCCCTTTTAAGAATTTTTTTTGGAACATTCTTCTAAACCTATTATAGTATTTGTTCTTGTTAATACCAACGTCCTTGATTGGGATGAGACTCGAACCTGCGACATCCTCTTTGGGAGATTAGCAGTGATGTCATCAAACCACAAGGTATTTGGCCCCTATTAGGAATTAATAAGTCTTATTTAAGAAAAAAACAAAGATAGTCTATGTGCACTTTGTTTATGTTTTGATCACATGTAAGGAATTTTCTCTTTTGTTCTATACAAATTACTGTTGTACACAATTTTATACGTGTCTGTGAAGTTTTTTGTCACAAACAAAATGGTGTGTTTTGTCTGTGACAAATAAAAACACCATTTTTACAGAAAAAACTTTCACAAATGCGTGTAAAAGTGTGTACAAAAGACTTTTTTATTTTTATTTTTTGCAATTCTTAGATGCCACTCACTCAGGGGTCGGAGGTGGGGCCCCTACCCCAAAATTTAAATGTAAAAATTTATATGCAAAAAATTACATGTAAAAATTCCTTGTACGAGCCCAACCCAACTCTTACTCCTCATTACGCCCCTACACTCACTTGCTTATAGTGCTAATTTATATTCCTCGTGAACATCACAAAATAAATGAAATAAGGAATATTCCCTTTATCCTTAATTAAAAATGAAATAATGATTAAAATAAGACCATATACTTCTAAATAGACAAAAATAAGACCTGTTTTAGTATGGACAAAAATAGGACCTATCTAAGCTCACAAAAATATTCATCCAATAAATGCAAACTTACGACTCCGACTGGTACATTTATCTCCTTTAACCTTTTTATTATGAGTAAAGCACAAACATCCAAATACACAAGAGTTTTACTCAGGCAAAATTCCAAATAATAATCAAAAATAATTACTCTGCACTTTTACTCAGTTAGATAACCTTATTTTCGAAGGATCGTTCATATTGGTCACATTTTTATCAAAAAAATTAAAATCGTCAAGACACTTTCCTAGTAAAATATATTTCACTCCATTCAATTTGAAGATTCGCATACACTACACGGTAAATTTAACTCTATTTTAATATGTAATTTTATTCAATAAGTTTTAGTATTATTAAGTGTTTTTTTTTGTGATTTAGCAACTTGTAACGCAGTTTTTTAATATATAAAATTTATCTATAATAATATATAGTACTTCGTGTATTTTCTTAAAATGCATTTACATTGTCATCTATCATCGTAAACTACAAAGATATTCATGATATGTGATAGAAGGAGTTTTTGGGCATATCTTTTTTAATCATTGTTAACTGCAATTTAATAAATATATTTATGTGTAACCTTTGTTTATTCAAAAAATTCAACCAATTCAGTTTTCCAATTGAGACTTATACAATTTTTACTAATTCATCCTAGAGTAGTACCCTCCTCCTCTGTCCCAAGCCAGGATAAATGAGGAGGGTGATGTGGTAGGCGTGTGACAGCCAACAGTATTACTTAGTCACATAACATGACATGAATCGAAATATGAATATCGCTACAGCTAGGTTGTCGCCCGTAAGCGACGCGTCATCCCTCCGCCTGGGGGTGGTGTCAAATATGCAAGGGCGCGCTACACTTCACAGGCCTGAGTGTGGTGATAAGAATGCTAAGGTTGCTAGGTTGTCGCCCGAAAGCGACGTGCCACTACAATGCCCGGGGATGGTGTCAAATATGCAAGGACACGGTGGGAGTCGATGTGGTGTGAAGAAGAAAAGGCAGGGTGCTAAATTGCGTTTTGGGGCATGGAATGTTGGCTCGCTTACGGGAAGATCATCTGAGATAGCTGAGGTTATGAAAAAGGAGGAATGTCAGCATAATTTGCATGCAAGAAACTAAGTGGGTTGGAGAAAAGGCACGTGAGATCAATCCCGGAGGTTTTAAGTTGTGGTATTCGGGGAGAGAAAGGAACATAAATGGAGTAGGCATTATGGTGGCACAGGATTATGTTGAGGGTGTGGTGGAAGTCTTCTGGAAGAACGCCCGCATCATGAGCATTAAGTTGATAATAGGAGATGAGATCGTGTCAATGGTAAGTGCCTATGCACCACAAGTAGGATTGGATGCATCTATCACTCAACAGTTTTGGGTGGATCTTGAGGAGGTGGTGCGACGAGTGCCAAGAGGAGAGAAGTTGGTCATGTGGGCACGAGTCGTGATGGTTTTGAGAGTATCCATGGCGGACATGGTTTTGGCACTAGAAATGAAACGAGGAAGATCATTTTGGATTTTGCCTCGACATATGAGTTGGCTGTGATGAACACTTGGTTCAAGAAAAGAAACTCTCACCTTGTGACCTATAGAAGTGGAGCTAATAGTACCCAAATTGATTACTTTTTAGTACAGACGACTTGGAGAACTAGCTACACTGATTGTAAGATTATCCCAAGTGAGAGTGTTGTCACTCAACATAGGATGTTTGTGTTTGATTTTCAAGGTAAACAGAGAAGGTGGGTTAAGGTACAAGGGGAGCCAAAGATAAAGTGGTGGAGGCTAGAGGAGAATCTCCAACAAACTTTTGCGCAACAAATGTTGGAGGAAGATGTATGGCCCATTGATAGTGACGCACATGTGGATGATGTGTGGTTATCAATGGAGTCCACCTTAAACAAAGTGGCGAAAGAGATACTTGGAGAATCTAAAGGATGTCTACCACCAAAAAAGGACACATCTTGGTGGAATGATGAGGTGAAACAAGCAATAAGGATCAAAAGGGAATGTTATAAGAAATTGGGCAAAATTTGGAGCGACGAGAACATAGAGGAGTACAAGGAGGCTAGAAGAAGAGCAAAGAAAGCTGTAAAGGAAGCAAGAGGAAAAGTGAACAAGGAATTGTATGCAAAATTGGACTCTTAGGAAGGAGAAAAAGATATTTACAAACTTGCTCGTCTTCGTGACCGTAGGACCCAAGATATAGGAAAAGTTAAG